CGATCGCGTCGTTAGATGAGGCGTTGACACAGTTACACGTATGTACCTGGATTTTTTAAGCATTCAAACGAGACGCTAATTCATGTTTACAGTTAATGTTTATTCACGATTTTATGTTGGAATTTCCAGACTAGTTCCAATTTAAGATTCAAAGCTGTCAAACTAATTATTATACGAGTGAAATATTAATACTAGGCTAATTAAGCTTCAAGAAGTTATAATTAGTTTTAAAATTGTGTATAATATACCTTATGTGCCAGAGCTAACTGTAAACTAGACAGGTTTCACAAATTCCACAGCCAGGTACCTAATTTAGAATTTTGTGCTTAAGAGATAAATATTTCTGAGGGTCAAAGACCTCCAGAAAATTTTGTCTGCATATAAAATATAGTTTCTCTTAAATAACAGAGGCAGGAAAATCTGTTTGACCTCAAGTAGAATCTACTTGAGGTCAAACAGATTTTATATATAAATATTTTTTAGACGTGACGTTGATTGTACAACAAAAAAAAAATAAAGCTAACAGTATCTAACTTCAATCTTCCTTTTAAAGAGCCAATAAAGAAAAATTAAGGTCGACAAATCGGCCGCTACAAGCCAAGCCGCTGGCCAAGTGCTAGAGAAAGGTGGTTTTGTCTAGATCTTACGACACGGCTAAGGCTAGCCAGTTACACCCAATAACATAACATACCTAGTAGCATCACTGGACACGTTAAAGCTATTATTAATTTCACACATGTTTGTTAATAAATAAATATAGCAGTGTTAGTCTTTGCAGTCCTATGAGAAGACTGACGTAACTTACAGATAAAAAAATTAAAATTAAAATTAAAAAACCAGTCGTCGTTTTTGAAAAGACAAAAGATATTACTAAACAAGATGACATTTCCGCGATGTTCTGTGAACTAGCACAAAAAATTGAGTAACAATGCGAATCAGAGTACGTCAACAGTGTTGTAAAAAACATAGCAAAAAGAAACCTAAACTAGAGTTGAAGAACGAATGAAATGAGCACTTTCATTGGGTGTCGTTTTAAAGGTAATAACTACGTATGATGCTTCCCTCTAGTCTAGATCTTATAAAAACCGTAAATTGCATATTATAAGGATATTGTGATTGGTTGGTATTACTGAGAGAATATGTAATGCTATTGATATTAGAGCCGAGTATGGACGTATAGTAAAAGAAAAGAGGAAAACCTCTGATGCGATATTTGGATAACAACGTTCGTTTCTTTTCAGAATAATACTAATTAGATTAAACGTTATTTATGTTACCATCCGTTTTCAACAACTGCTCGAAATTAGGCCATAAACTCATGATATGAATTTGATTCCACTCTTCAATTGGTTTGTTAAAACATCACGTCTCGGTCCAATGATGTTTTGCAACAATAAATTATTCTGTATGTAGCCAATCTGTAAATGGACGAGAACAAAGGTAGTTTTTCGAGGAAACCGCGACACAGAACAATAATAATAACAGAGGAGGAAGACATAAACTAACTTCTGTTGTTTAGACGCGTCTACCGCGTATTTAAGACTTCTATTTAACGTTTGACACGTCGCCTTCGTGGTGATGGTGACTGGTGACCATTTGACCAAACACGCCGCACAAAGAATAAGTACATGTACTTACGTAAATATTTATAATATGTACCTCTGAATAATTTAAACAAACGAAACGATACTTATTTTTTATGATCTACTTATTCTATCTCCCTTTTCTATTAAAAGTTAAAAATACTACAAAACTTCAATAAGCATGAATTCATAAAAAACATCGACGACAAAATGTCATTTGGAATATTTCATATCTAAATATACGTTTGTCATTGAGTAGGTACGTTATTTAGGCTATAAATAAAAAATAAAATTGTACTTAATGTGTTTCCTAGTTCTAGAAGTTAATGGAGATTGAATTGATGTACCATTACTACATATTTAGTACCTGTCAAAGAGATTTAACGATAAAAGTCGTGTACATTACTGGATTTACTTAATAGACATCTATTACGAAACGATTTATAAAAGTTGAGGATATCACCTAATACGTATTTTTCAACTGTGTATTGGAGAATAAAGCATTTTATATTACAAGAAGTAAAGAACTAATCGTTTCTTAGAATCCATTCATTCGATAGTGTTACAAAAAATTTAGCACACAGTACGTGTGCCCAATTTTCATGGAAATTCTTACACTTTCTTTTAGATGTTCCAGTTTGGTTTACAATTACATGTGTAATACAAGTTACATTATTATCACCCAGTAACATTGTAACTGTGAGTAACTCTTCGACGCCGTGTGATGTAATTGGTACGTGTCTTAACTAATAATATAGAAAGTGATTGTTGCTACCTTTACCTACTAAGTTAACACCATACATTTCTCCTAACATGGATTGCAGCATTGAATAAGATTACCATGTTGTTATGTCTAGGGAAAGTGGTATTTTATGTTATTACGTAACTATAGCATTGAACGTGCAATCTAGGGAAGTTTTTGCAGTCTGTTCTTGAAAGATCCTTAGGCAAAATATGTATTTAACTCGTCGAGTACCGGCTTTGTAGACACAATTATAGAACAATAGGTTGCGGTCACCGGTGACCGCAACCTATTGTCTATAATGACGGTACTCGACGAGTTAAGTAATAATTTTACTTTATTATTTCTCTTGATGTATTTTTATAGATAATAATTGTTCAAATATCTGTATTACAACTACGATGATAAATTCAGTGTAAACAAAATAAGGTTGTATAGCTTAGTAGTAGAAGACGCGTGGACACATCAGATCACCCACCGTGGCAGTATATTATCCTACCACCATTTTCTAGACGGCAGCACATGTGCAGAATTTATAAACGGCTGGATTTCACACAATGTTTAAATCGTGCGCATATTTGAATAATACACTCCATGCATCAGGCTTAGGAATGTCGCATCGTCCTTCCAGAAGGAATTAAACAAAATGTCTATCTTTATGAACTTCCTTTTGTAGTGTTAACTCAAATAAAACTAAGATCAACGTGATTAAAACGAATCCACTGCTTACCTAGTAATAGTTATCAGTGCAAAAAGCTGGTGTTTCCAAGAAAATAAACTTCTTTATTTTTCATTAATAAACATGTCGGAATTTTCGATTGGTTGGCAGAGTGCCTGACCTCTACTATTCCATGTAGTAAATATTTACCAAGTACACAGCACCAACTACATATAAGTTTATTTCTTCCTGTGCCATAACATTGAGGATAAAACTTAAACAGTCCTATTCCAAACCAATAATAAAAAGGTGAATAATTTTACATTATTATGCACAAAATTCATTTAAATAAAGTAACTAACAAAGAAGTACCTATTGACTGATAATATGCTGAGATTGCCGGATCAACATTTGGAAGAAGCAGGCGCAAAATGAATGAATGAAACATGTTGTCAGTCGGAGGAAAGTGAAAATTGAGTGAAATAGTAAAAGTAGTTGTAAATAGTTTCATAATGCAAAAAGCACCAAGCAATGATGGGTTAGTCCCGTCAAAAGAAACATTATTTACTGAGAACGTAATGAAGATAAATGATTACGTCGACATGGGTGGTTGCCGTGGTGCTCCAAGTACTCGCTCGTCTCGCAATGATGCAGCTCAATTTGTGCTTAGTAACGGAACATGGATAATTCTTCAGAGAAACTTTATAGCTTCACACCATTTTAATTTAATAACAATCATTGCAATATGTGATTGTAGAGAAATCTATAATATTATTTGTTTTTGTTCGTACTTTAACAAAATTGGTTGATTTTCTTTTATCATCATAAAGTGAAACAATAATTGCAACATCACCAACTTTTTTATTGTTATCTAACAGGAAAATTAGTTCAGGAAAAGGCAAAACGTGATCCCCAAAGTAAGTAAGGTGGACGCTATTGTTTCTAAAAGTTCACGTGTACACGCTTCTTTATTCTCCGAGCTTTTGAACAGAAACTGTCGCTGAATACTAACACGGTGGTTTGTTTCTACCTATGCCTTCACAAACAAAGGGATTCGTATTATGTCTAAATTTTGAATGTATCAAGTTTATATGTTGCAATTGAAACGCGTCCACTATGTACTTGTAGTAGAAAGTGTTTAAGTTCAGGTATATGCAACACATGGATTAAGGCATCAGACGTGACCCGGTGGGGTGCTGGCTTTAGCCTTGCGCTCTCCGCTTACACAATTTATTTTGTTGCTCGGTGAACATTATGACATTAGCAACGCTATCAAGGTCTCAACACGCCGCGGATTAACAAAACGCTCGTTTGGTTAAAGTCAAAACTATTCTACCGCCACACATCAATCGACCATAGAAACTTGAGTCGTTAAAACAAATTAAACGGTCGGCGACTGGAGCCGACAATTTTATCATGAGCAGATCTCGGGTCCCACTAGACTACGTAATCTAGCGATTTGACTCAAGTGAAGTGAGAATAAAACCCACGGCACCGCGCTAGACATATCGATTACTTTCTCGCTACGTGTTTTCATTGTCGTGACAAGCTTGTTAGACGGCTAACTTAACCTTTTTATTGGACGTATTTAAATACGACTCCCTTATCTTGGTAACATTGTGCCTTTGTGCAGTCGAAAAATGCAAACAAGAGATTAGTAGCCGTCGTTGTATAAACATAGCCTTGAATAAGTCACTTAGATAAGTACTACCAACTTTACTTCCCAAAAGAATTAATTACTTTTCAATGAGAAGATGATTACAAAAAAGGAGATGTATTTCACGTGGAAGAATCCTACTTCCTCATTGATTGGACGGCTTGACCGGAGTGATGCCGTGGCCTGATAGAAAACCGGCGAAACGCTTGCGTTGTTTTAACATGTTTTACCGATAAAAGCCAGCAATGCACTTGTAGCTTCGAGTGTTGCGGATGTCCATACGCGACGCCGATTGCTTGCCATCAGATAATTCGTCTATTCGTTTGCCGCCCTGTCCCAAACAAAAATTCTTCGTCTTACCTCTTCATCTTCTGCTATAAATTCTACTGTAGTTTGTCTTTGCTGTTCTACGTTGTTTAATTTCGCGGGCCGTCCGTCTGCTTGCTCCAATACTGAAACAAAAGACCGCATACGTGACTCATCGTATTACTTATCTTAGTTAAGGTCGGTATTTCCCAATGGAGATAATAAATGGGTCGGATGCTTTTGGCAACGAAATATATTGTAGTCTGAACGCATTCTAGCCACACGATACGACAGTTTTTATTGTTCTCTTTAGAATAAAATAGCTAAATATAAAACATCGGTTGAACTGCAGGTTCATTACAGCATGCTTGTACGGGCATAGCCAAATAAATGTATAAGAGCAGATCGATGTGAGTCAGACGTATGTCAGGCATAGGGTTGGTTCATTCCACCTGACTGTGGTAAAAATATATTGATTGGTATACAGTATACTCTGAGATGTCTAATACAAAGACAAACATATCAAACAAAGAAGAGTATGCGGAAAAACGTGCGTCCATTTCAAATGAATCACACAGTTTATTTGTTTAGGTTATAGACAGTATTTGCTAGTATTAGGCAAAAATAATACTCTTGAATTTACAGGACAATTTTTTTAATGTAAATAAGCCACAATCTTGGTGAACACTGTTATTATATCAAAGGATTTAGAAGAAAATGGCCTTTTCAAGAGTTGAAAAGGTTAAAAACTTTTATAAAAAGGAATAAGACTGTAAAATTAATCTAAAGTTATCTCTATATCTCCGCCTAACTTTGAAGTTTATGTCTGAAATGTTTTAGTAAGGTACTATAAGGAAAGGTAAAAATGAGCAAATCTTCCTTCAGGAAAAGATAACAAAATTGCTATAATAGAAAAATATTACGGTGAATTCGTTGACACGTTAAACATGATCCATTCAAATTGGTAAAGATAAGTCCAGTCCAGTCTAATGCTTATAGATAGGTACGACTCGAGAGAAATCGCACTAAATAGAACAGGAAAATCGAGCAAAAAATTACAATAAACTTTAATGCAATGCAATAGACAAACAACTCTATTTCATTTTGTATTTATTGAAATCTGCTATTTAGGTCTTTGTAGAAAAAATGTAGTGATGTGTTCGTTAGCAGATACAATTTAATGTGCTTGTCATTGGGTTTATTCAGACGTTAATCAGCACAGTGGATTTGCATAGGTATTGGGAAAACAACGACTACGAAAAAACTAGTATATGTAATAATTAAGATCCAATAAAATGCAACCAAAAGAGTTAACAAGACCATTTTATTTGCGTATTGACGCAAAATTACGCCAAGGAATCCACATAAGCTGATAGACTTAGGTATGTGTGAAATATAAATCCTATCTTTACTGTCGCGTCGTCCGGTATAAAGTAAAAGAACATGTCTCATATTATGTAGAATGCTTGCCTAGAAAGCAGCAAAAAGAAATTACTTTCAAATCATTTCCGAAGTTATTTATCTTCGATCAGAACGCGCGTTTGCTGTTGGGTTCGGAGAGCTTGCGACATTTTTATATTTTTATCGAAGAGAGTCATTTTTAATGCATGAAATCATGTTCCTATTGCAATTACTTATCAATAGCACACACTACTACTTGCACATTATATAATTACCACAGAACTTAAAGAGTCATAAGTACAATCGTCAAAAACCCAACACGAGTTATTATTTTATTACTTGATTGTGTTAGTGCCTTTATACCAATTTACTATTTTTAAAGATCACAAACTGTACCTATCACAATCAATGGTTAGGGAAGTCCACCATGACTAATAAAGGTGACTGTTCACGGTGTGTTGAATCCCACGCCCGGCTTGCTACAGCTGCAGTATATAAACATCGTTCGTGGCTGTCTACATTTCATTAGGCATTTTAAATTCTTGTATGTTTAGGTGGATTATTCTGAGCAATCCTCAACTCACTGACACGTGTATTAGATGTAAATGAATTGAAGAGAAAGAAACGAAAAACGGGATCCTCTCAATTTCTTAATTAAAGCTCTCAATTGTACTATGTATTTTCAAAAGTTTAAAACAGTATGATCTGCCTCGTATATACCGAAAGTAATTTTTCGCTAAGTCCGTTTCCTTGTAAAAGTTTTTAGGATACCGTATCAAATGGAAACACGAACCATGAACACGAACAATGACCGTGATATCGAATTCTTTGAACATGAACAAAACTCTGTAAGTGCCAGTAGGTGCAATAAGCCACTGTTTGGAATTTCCAGTTGGCGTTTAGGGGAACATAAAAATATAGCACGAGTTTATCCAGATATAAAACATAAATAGGACAGTGTTTTAGATACTAGACCTCGCTACACGCTGACATAAAAACTGGATAAGGTTACACAAACGTTGCCAACACAGATTTTGGCAACTAAGCTTACGCCAAAATATTTCCTTTGGCGACATAAATTGTAATGGAAACGACGTACATATTAATTGAGTTGTGATAACAGGGTTTCAATTAACACAGTAGATAAAACACGTCCGCTCATTATCATTGACAGTGCACCTCGTCTAGTTGTACTTATATACCATGTTCATTATACATAATTCTCCATTGGCCACTATCATGAAGGTTAGAGCCAGTCACATTCTTGCTACGAAAATAATAATTGTAAATTGTAATAATAATAAACAATAAATGAGCCTATAATCCTTATAGGTTAATTTATAGTGATTCATACAGAAACGATTTGAGGAAACAGCTGTTAAATGTTCCCGGTTTTTTTTTATTTATTTCATAAACATAATTTATTGGGACTAATTTAATAGGTGCACATAATCTTATGATTATTGTGGAAAAAATCTATTTATATCTGATTTTAAACCTAAATCTTGTGATCTTGTGTAAATAACTGAGAGTGTCAAGGAAATTGATTAAGTCATTAGGTGTTGCCGGATTCCACGTAGTTGACGTGTCCATTTCGATAATATCTCTTAGCGACCTACAAAGCGTTTTTGCCAAATTAAATGGCGGAACTGTAGACGTAACGGTCAACGAACATGTGGATGCTCGTAGATCGGACTGATAGCTTTACAAGCAAGATTCTTAATTTGACAATAAAGAAGAGGGTCTATGTAATGTAATGCCTTGGCATCGTTTCTAGAGAAGCCGGTCGTAAATCATATAACGAAAAGACCCGACTTTTAAAAACAAAAACGAGGACGTTAAAACGATTTCGACATAGCCTTTATTGCATGAAAAAGCAAAAACACAAAGAAAAATATCTGTAGGTAATCATATGTATGGTGAAGGGGGTTTCGTGTGCTCTACTTCAGGTTATGGTAATGCCTTGTGACACCACTGTGTATTTAATACATATAACTAATTATCAGTCTACCGCTGCCAGATGAATCTTGGAGTTCACATGTTAGATACTACGCAGTGTAAGTAATAGAATGGTTGCGGGTTTCTTTCGACCTTTTACTTGGAAGGGGAACGAGGACATGCTTACCGGTCTATCCACACCACATCGATGTGATATAACACCGTAAGTACACGTGATTGAATACATTACAATAATGGCACCGACAACAAACAATTGACTCCATTCAATTCCAACTAAATAACTTACTAAACTGGAAATAAAATACTAATAGAGGCCTGTCAATTGTTAATAGAACCAGTGGCGTCATTGACGCCAACGTCAACCCAATCGGCAATAGCATGGACAATAATATATACAAACAGTATACAGGTACTTATCGCAAATGAATATACCATTGAGCTCTAGCATCAGCTCCAGTGCCACACTAAATGGGCGTCAATGATAGTTCATTACGAATTAAGACAAAAACTATTATTCTGATGAATAATAAAAAATGTAGCCACGATATTTTTCCAATAGTTCCTTTTGCTATCAACAACCCTCAAAACGTAGACTATGAAATCGATTAACATCCTTACTTTAATCATTATAAAGTTTCAAATGAGTGTATTGGTGTTAATTAGCGATGTCGCTAACCTCAGAGACGTTGCATCTAAAATGAAACCGCACAAGGTTGCGAGTGTAACCAGTGCAGGCGCCCCGGTTGTCCGCAATCAAATGCACGCCTAAGATATTACACTAATAAAGCTAGACAACAACGAAACCCACTTCGGTGCAGACGTACTAAACTTTACTAAAGTACTGCATTATCTGTGCAACGAGAGAAACGCCGATCTAGGCGGTTTTATCTCAGGCGAAGCTTCAATGAATACTGCACCGATCTTATTGGGTGGTGGGTGCAGGCGATGCACGGTCTATGACATCATGGCACATCCAGTGTAACGAGTGTTCGTACCTCATTGTTTGAGGGAAAATCATCGAATGACTGCCCCCGTCTGGGTGAGGCGGGAGGGAGTGTCAGACTCTTACTGACTAAAAACCACCCCGTTCCTTCTCCTGCACGTCGAGCCGGAGCCCCGGTTACCCGTTAGGTTCTCCGCGACTCCGAATCGGCATCGGCCCTATTGGGCCCCATCTGTGGTGGTCTGATGGCTCTTTGAGGCGCGCGCGGAACGCGACGCGCCGTACGCTCGGGTCTGTTTCTGGTCGGACGGGGAGCCACCCATGCTCGCCGTCCGCAGGCCCGCGCTTACGGTGGCCGGAGATCGTCCCGCGATCCCCGACGCCCGGTGTGTCCTTCGCGATGGCTGGGTTGCGAGGAGGCAGCGCTTCGCTGCCTCACGCGTCCCGCCTCCTCCTTAGCTAGCATGACTGCTTCGCAAAAGGAGGAGACGGCATCCCAATCCCCCTCGCTCCGCATCATGGCCTGCACTAGGCCCGGACGCGAGAGGTCGCCATCGCCGATCACTTCCCTGAGGACACGGCGGTGCTCAGCCCACGAAGGGCATTCTCCCACCGTGTGTTCCACCGTGTCCTCAGGGCGGTCCTCGCAGTGATGACACCCGGGCGTTTCCTCCCGCCCCATCAGACACAGGTACCTCCCGAAACTGCCATGTCCGGTGAGGACCTGCGTCAGGCGGTAGGTGAGGACGCCGTAGCGTCTCTCAAGCCACTCCTCAAAGAGGGGACTTACCGCTGCGATGGCAGCGAGCCCAGCCCTCGGTTGCGACAGTCGTTGCTGCCATT